AATGATTGGTCTGATCCATGATTACGTAACGTGATATTCTGGGAAAAGCAGGATTCATCTTTCTCTCGTTTTCTCTCTCATGCAACTGATAACAAACGCTGACCTAAATATGTTCCCGCCAAACCGTCGTAAATCGTAACGCTGCAACGTAAGGCACCCTCGCCCGAATCACGTCCGCCTTCTTTTCGGTTTAATCTATGTCGCACAATCTTCCCTTATTCATGGAAAGAAAGGATTCTGTCATAGGTAGTAGTAAGTAGGAAAGGGAATCTTCTAAGAGGAGCCAATTAGGCCAATTTCGTATAGATATAGAGCAGGTATATACGCACAGCCCCCAGGAATAATGTCGATATTCCATCGGTTCATCTGCTTTCTGTTTCATCCCCTCGTGAATACGACTTTCGATTCCTAGGCTATGGAGAAAATATGGTCTCGACAAACGGAGCACGTACATCGCAATTTATAGCTTTAGCTTAATACTAGATATCATGTTGAAACCTTCAACTCTACCTCCTTTCACCCGCTTTCTTCGCCTGCCCGCTAATGTAATCCTTACTTCACTTCTCACCGAAAAGAGGCTTTTATTTCACGATACTTAATGGCTTCTCAAGTTTAACGTAAATTTACGTCCTCCGTGAATCTTTTTTATCTGTGTGTCGATTTTCTAAACATCGAAATTATGATTTTCGTAGTTTCTCCATAAAAGTTTTCGCCTCGCGTAGATAGCTTATAATTTAATCCTGAATAGAACTGTGTCTCCCTATCACCTTTAACCACTTTTATTTGCATTTATAGTTCGAATTTGTAAAGCGATTGGAAGTGAGCGGAAAACATGTTGAAGAAAGAGTTGTGGTAGTGTACATGCATAGTCATTAGTCAAATTTTCCACGGAACACGACATTTCAGGCACGGCACTAGCTCTGTTCCGAATCGTCGAGCGTGTGCAGCCCCGTCAGACACAGCCGCGTTTTCTCGCGTGCACCAATGGTGCATGTTTCCAATACAGCTTAAAGAGGGAAATGTCACAGCCTCATAAATTGTGAAAGCTTTATGACGCACGATGGAAAGATAGATTTTTATTATTAAATTGTTTTCGCATTATTACATATTTCAAAATATTTCTCTTTGATACAGACGTATTTCTTGTAAACGACGTATTTTTGTTTATTTGTCCTATATTTACATTTACGCAAAGATAGACGTTTATCTTCGATGTATTTACACATATTTCTTTAAATTTATTAATTTAAAGAAATATAAATTTATTAATTTGAAGAAATACTTTTAATAAATTTATTATATTAATTCAAATTCTCGCAATAGAAGGTTCAACGAGTTAATCAATTTAGAATTAGATTAGTTGATATAGTACTTCCAATAGTGTAACTTCAGTATTTTAAGCTCCTAAAGCCACAAAGTCAACGGTAGTATTGCACGTGTCTTTGGAGACGCGTGTATCTGGTCAGTTTGTGCGATAATGTCACGCGCGGGCGCATCGAAAGCCGAAGAGAAGAGCGCACGCGCCTCTAAGACGTCAGGAAATTCTCCATTCTACACTAACCGCGTTTGAGTTTACGTGAGTCTCGTTGTGAGGAGATCCTCAACAAAGATCGCGGGAGGAAGCTAAAGCGGTGGTTTAGCGTCATATTAAGGATTGGCGCTAACGAGATTGATTGCGGACAGACATGCACAGGACACTTGCCTTGTCTTATCTCGATGCGCCGCTTGGCAAAATGCGCTTTAAATTAATTGCTGTTTGAGTTGTAACATGTTGTGCGTGTTGTCGCCATTTTCGATTAGGTTATGGAGAAAATAAATGCAACAATTAGTTCTCTCATAAATGGCTATAAAATGGACACATTAAAAATTAATAAACGGCATTAAATACACCGATCTATATTGAATTAAATATAATATCAATCTTTTAATTATTTTTTCCTTATTTATTTATATTTAGTATAATAATATAGTTAAAGGGGAGAAAATATTTTAAGAGTGGCACAAGAAATCCTTCAGTATGTTTGGAAAATATAATACGCGTAGTTAATAATCATAATAAAAAATATGATTTTAGCACGTCTTGATTTTTTTTACGAAAAATGATGGAGCTTTAGAAAATACGAGTCGCATAACTTGCCGTCAGCTAACTAAAAATATCGCGACCGCAACTAATCACACCGGAGGGACTTTGCGACCGAGAAACAACGTGTCGTCCAGAACCGTTTTGCAAAGCCTCTTTGGAGTTGCCCCTCGGTCGAGAAGCGATGCTTTACAGCTGAGCGTCTCTGGGAATTCCGTCTGATGTGAAACAATCAGAGGATGATGTACGCGCTTAGATGTGCGAGAAAATCCTTCGTTTTGTTGTGTGAATTTGGACGGGCAACACGCTTGCGCGTTCGTTAAGGGCGGTGTAAATCATGATTATTTCTCTTTAATTTCAATGAGGTTGATCAGCAACCACAAAGCGAATATTAATCGGCTTCTCGTGCTTGCATTGCATACATGTTTCCCACGCATCGACGCTTAGTTAGATTGTGAACATTGAGAACAGACGCCTCCACACGTCAAACAACATCTTTTCCTCTTTCAACGTATTTCTATATCAAATATATACTTAACGATTCGTCGAGTTAACATTATGATTGTTACCCTGTTTAAAAAAAGTTTTTTTTATGTTAATTTATTAAACATTATTCAAATCGTTTCGCACTATTTTATTATTGTTACTTACTTTTATTAAGTGGCTAATTTTATGAAACGGAAATATCTACAATGTCAATATGACGTCAGTTTATGTTCAATATTTGTAAGCTGGAATATAGTAGTATTTAATAAAAGTGTTCTGTTATTAATAATCGATAGAATTAATGCGGCTGTGGATATGCATTAGACGGCGTAAGTAGACCAGTTAAAACAAACAAATAATGCATGTAATGTGAGCTGCCGGATAAGCACAAATTTCGTCTCCTAAATATGTCCCATATCTTCCAGCCTTTTCTCTCCGAAAGTACGACCGTGTTGGATTACACGTCATGAATTACTGCAGGACCAAGCATCTGCGGTAAAAGCTTATATCCGCGTAATTTACGCCGAGACGCGGTATAAGCACACCGTTATCCACGGATCGTTATCATTTCAATGCTATTTGCGGTAAACACATTATATATCGATCAGTCTCGTAGATACTACCGTGCTAACAGTTAAGATCCGATATTCACTCAAAGCTTAAAAACCGTTATGAAAAAAAATTCTTTATACCTTCTTTGTATTATTGTCTGATTTAGCAAACTCATTATGAATTTCTTATAGTTGTGTATTCTCATTGGCTATGTCTAATCGAGCGTCTGATCATTTTTCAAAGGATTTCAATTTTTTGTTTATTCTCTACATTTATGGAATTTTAGTCGATAGGAAAAAATAATATTGCATTGTACTGTTTGGTACCTCTCGAAGAATTGCAAACAAAGTGTTTTCATTTCCGAGTTCTTCGAAAATGCAATGTTCCAAAGCATTCGTTGCGTCGCGTGTAGCTATCATTTAAACAAAAATATCCTGGCAATAATCGTAATGTAAAATCGTTAAATAAAATTTTAATCGATATGATCTCGACATTCCTAATGCGGTATAAGAACTGTCGATAAAGTCATCAGTGAAAAGTGCTAATATGAAAGCAATTCTTAAAAGCTTTCGTCGTAACCGTTAATCGTAAAAGTATTTGCCTTGCCTGTTCAACTGGCGATCAATGATTTCAATTACCTACCATCATTGATTCGTGTCTCATCAGAGGCAATTCAAATTCTTCTCGACCAACTACGGGTAGTCGGTTAACAAAGCCGAATGTAGTTCGCGTGATGAGCTTTAAAGCTTCCTTCAAGTGGTAAGCATTGAAGCTACATCAGCCAGCAAAGTTTACCATCGGTTGACAATACTTTGATAATAAAAGCGCATCATCGTAATTTCCTGCAGCTGTTGCGATTTAATTATATAAAATGTATATATTGAACAAATATATTTAAAGACTTTGTATGTAATTCGTAATAGTAAATTAAATTCACGCTGTATATTTATCTACTCCCAGAAAACCAATAAATGTTGATACTCTACTAATATCAAAATAATTGCTCATATAGTGATGCCATCGGCATAACGTAAGAAATCTTTTTTATTAACGTAACAAATAAATAATTTTTGTTTTTGTTTTACCAATTAATTAACAACGAGACACTATCTTTGATATATTTATGAAACACGGTTGAAGTAAACTTTCGCTGTACGCTGCAGCATTTTTCTGATAGATAGTGGATAGATAGATAGTTTGGTAGTTATAAATGCATATACAATCTTGTTTGGATAATCCGAGAAAATATACAGAACCTGAGTGCACGTTAGTATGATGAGAAAATTAACTATCTAACAACTGTGTCGCACTTACTTTTCTAAGGTCTATCGAATAAAAACAAGATATATACCTATACCTCACATTTTATCTCGTCGATGTTTTTATTTGTTACATGAACAAAATTATCCTTTTTTCTTCAACAACTGTAATTTTAATGTGATAATTTAAAAATAATTTATTTGATTAATTTTTCTAGAATTTGAGTTCATTAATAGTATAAGAAATTTAATTTTATTTGTGAGAATTAATTTCGATCCTAAGAAGCATCCCCTCCTCCCCCTCCGTCGTGACAGAAGATTGCCACCCAAAACCTTTAAACATAAGTGCATTATATTCGATAAAAATCTGTCATTTGCGACAGGTATATTAAAAGGTTTTTATTTTATGGCGTAAAAAAAGTAAGACGGTGAAATACACTTCACCGAAATAAAATTTCGTGTGTCGCGGTAAGTGAACTGTATGCGCGCATATGCGTCGTGGTCGTTTAAAAAGAGGTAGAGCGGGTAGGACAGAAGCGGGGGAAATATGTGTATTCCGAGAATGATTCATAAATAGTTTATTTTCGTACCGGCTGCTGGGGAATCGTTAGTTGCGGCCAAAGCAGCCGCCTTCGAGACGCGGCGCGTATTTCCTCGTCGGTTTCCTCGCTTCGCCAGCATAGACGCGCACAACATAGAGTACGAGGTTTGAAACAAGGCTCCGAAATCCGTATTAACATTTCAAAGGGTGTATGAGTAATAAATCTAGCTTGCCAGTGTGGCGTGAAGCTACGGATTCCGCAGTGCTCCATAATAAATGTACATCGGGGTAAAAGATGTGACCATAATTGCACTGTCGCTCGTTGCCGCACGTAGTGACTATGTTGACGGCCGATTCACACTAATTGAAATCACATCCAATACCGTTGCGATTAATATTGATAGCAGCTTGTGACGCATTTAATTATTACACGTTGGATATATAGAATAATGCATACGCGTGATGAACTGTAGCGTTAACGCGTACGGTGGCACGCTGCTTTCGCTCGAAAAATGGCGTTGCCATCACAGGGAGGTAACGTTTTATTAAACTGCATGCTGTGTTATTTCAAGCACGAAATTACGAGCATCTTTCATGAAGCGTATATACTGATTATGTACAATATTCGAAATTTGCGAGGTGCTATTCTGTGTCCGCAATTAGTTTCAAAAAATTATAACATTATTATATACAATATATTCTTGTTTTTCATAAATTTAAGTTTTTTTTCTTCTTTCATTTCATTTTAAATGTTTTAATATTTTTTCTGCAAATCCATAATGCGCATAAATATATAATTGGTTTTTATACTTTAATAAAAAAGAATAATATAACGTTACATTTAAATAAATTATTTCTTCATTTAAAATGTTACGCTCAACTGTCATAGTTTATGTAATGTGTTTGTTTGACATACTCTCATTAAACTTCCAAACTGAAGTTCCTCCGAAATGGAGTTGATGCCTGTTACTTAGTTCCATGGTTCGTTAGCCACGACTGGTGAGAAAAGATCATCATGAGTACAATCTACTAGGAAAAGGTGTTTCTAATGCTCAACCAGTGTCTTTGATGTTGTCTTTCAAACAATACGTACAATTGAAAGTGAGGCATCATAGAAAGAAATTCAATTAACTGTAGCCAAAGATACATTTCATTCGACTATTCATTGTTAATCGAATTCTGTGTTACATGTATAAACTCTTGACAGGTATTCAGTTGCGTGTTTTAGAATGATTGTTCATAAAATGAAACAGAGATACTCAATAGAGATGTTTACGTAATAAACTTTGAAAAATCGATCGTGAGTTTTTCGAAACTGACAAAATTAATATTGTATCATAACCTATGTATCATATATCGTTAAATTAAATTTATATAATTCGTTTATATAATTTAAAAGAAAAAAGTGAAAGTTCCTACTAAATTTTTGTTTGTTTAAAAAAAATATACTTCCGACAATAAAATGTAAAAAAATGTTATTATACCAATAATATTTTCATTGACAAATATTTAAATATTTAAATATTTAAAAAGAAAAAAGCCATTTTCGGTTTAAGTGGGTTTTGATGCCTAATAATATTCATTATGATTACAAATAGAATTATCAATTTCATAGACTGTGCCCTAATTTGGTTTATCGAATTTGAAACATAATCATAAACTGAATAATCTCACAATTAAATTAATTGTCAATTTAATAATAATGCTAGTTAACGTTAAATATAAGCAAAAGAATTTAAAATAATGAAATGAATCTACATCTTTTTCAAATTATGGGAAATGATGACTCGTAATATTACATGTTATATGGGATCAAAAAATATCTCTGATAATTTACACTCATGTTATAGTTCGCGAATCAGTGAACGGAAAGAATCAAAGCAATTTTAATTTACATATTTTACAAAAGCAGAAACAAGTCGGTCGGGCAGCACGAATTTTTTTCCCCTAACGCAATAGAGATAAAGCAGAAAAGGGGAAAAAAGAAAGATAGAAAAAAAGAAGAAAGCGATAAAATTTCCCTGTAACGTCCCGACATTTTCAACTTCGTACAGATCTCACGGGATCAAAATATCAAAAGTAACCTAATAAGTAAGTTTTCTAATTAAATTCAAAAAAGAGACTCGTCTCTTTGCTTTAACTTCATTGTGGTTTAGTTCTCGAGGAGAAAATTTTTGCCTATTCAACGAATTTAAATATGCTCCGCGGATCAGAATATGACTTCATTTCGCATTTTCAGTGAAATAAATAACATGATATACATATAACGAGTGATATCGCGATGATGCAGCTCCATATATCGTGTTAATAGTGTTGCTTACGTTAGGCGACTTTGTCAGACCATCAAGAAAAACAATTATGCCCGTGTGAGGGTATACAGTCTTGAGCTCATTTAAGTAGAGTTCATACATTTGCACCCCTATTCTCCCGTTTCTTGGTTCGTACGCGAAATGCATATGAAGCGCCTTAAATCGTTGGTGCACAAGATGCAACAGCTGCTCTCACTGTTGTAATACATATATATATATATTGGGTCATTTAAAAAGTATCCGCGGTTTTTTCATTCAAAAATTGAATAAAAAACCGCGGATACTTTTTAAATGAAAACCTAATATACACACACACACATATATACACATATATACACACACATGTGACACACACACAACACAAACACACACACGTTTAACTCATTCGGCCGAATATTGAGAAACGAGACTCCCATTAGGCAATTAGATTGTCAGTCTTTTTACGTAATTAAATTAAATTTTTGTTCCTTTTTTCTTATATATCTTACATAGCTCTAAATTTTTAATGATCATAAGTAAAGCGTTTTTGCTGTTAAAAGTTATGGAGCTTTATCTTTTTTTCTATATTTATATATCACTCTCTTACTTCAAAGCGAAAGTTTAAAATAACCGTGATTTTCGAGTTACGAATGATATAATAGGTACTTAAACGTTACTCGATCAATCATCAAAAAAATAAATTAACTTAATTTTATAAAAAAACTGTCAAAATGTTACGAACTTAAAAAGAATGATTTAAAAAAAAATTGTTGCAGCTTACAAAATTAATCGCGCAAAGATACTCACGTTGTTAAACAAAGTGACTTGGGGTCGCGGCGAGTCCGCAATTATTTAAAAAATAAATTAGAATTGTATGAATAAATTAAATTAAGTAAAGAAGCGTCAAATGCAGTCAAGCTTAATGCCTAATAATATTTCTGTATATATTTAAATACACTTTCCAGCACTTCAAATTGCGCGGCGAATGCAGCTGGTCTTAAAAATGCAATTCTAAATTAAAGTTGAAAGCAGTAATCTTACAATTAATAAAAGATAAAAACTCCTTAGAAATTAAAATGAAGTGTTTGAATCAAGAACTATGAGAGTCGATGTGGTTAACGATGCATAAGTAAATTAAATAATATAATATTTATTATAAGTAAGTCTAATAGTTACATTCGGAGCCAAAATGTTCAAATATAGTAAGTTGTAGGATGTAATTTTAAGTTTGCAACTGTTAGACTCTCACAGCTCTTGATTTAAATACTTTATAGTAATATAATAAATTAAATTAATATTTTTATATATACTGATTTTTATTTTAAATATTTGAAACTGATATTATTTTTTTGCCAACATTATTTAATTAATTAATTCTGTCAAGTTGAAAAATAGTTCTTTCTTTTTTTTCTATAAATTTTTTAAGTTATAATTTTTGAAGGGAACGATATTAAAGATATCGTCCAAAGCTATTGTTCTTTAAGCCAAGATTTAAAAGATGATTCTCCGGAGTTCAATAATTCTATCAAACCATTTAATAACTGCTGTTATTCAAGCAAACTTCAAGTGAGATATCTCTCAGAAAAATGATTGAAGAAAAATGAATCCTGCATTAAAACGTCCAGAGAACATTAGATGATACTTTATCTAAATAAGGAATATTTTTAACGATGTTGTAACATAAATAAATAGTACACTGAGAAAAAATTGTTCATTAAATTAATTTAGTTCGTTTGTATTTCTTTTGATAAAAAATGTTTTTAAATTAAATATATTGTATTAAATATATACATTCTCCAACGAAAGAAATAAAGATAATTAAATTAATTTAATCAAATAAAATTAATTAATTTAATCAAATAAATAATTTTTTTCACAATGCAGTATACTAAAGAATAAAGAGAGACCCAAAGAAAAAAAAATTGTTTATATATATATATATATATATATATATATGTGTGTGTAAAGAAGTATGCGTAAGTTCATAATATTGTATTCTACTATAGCTCTAATTTTTTTTTATATATAACTTTGTAAGATACAATCGGTTTTCTTCGATAGATCTTCTTTGAGAATTATTTTCGAAATCTATACGATATACAGCTTATAAATCCGACAAAAGTGTTCCCAAGAAGAAGATATTAAATTCTGCACGTGTATTCTGTCGCTAGGGTCGCCGTGAGCAAAAACACGACTCCCTCTGTATACATTTAAAATCGATAGACCTTCTCAAACGCGGTATTCTCAGCTCCAACTAAGCCTCCGCTGTTGATTTTAATTGCGTATTGAAAGTGCCTGGAGACAGTATAAGAAACGATATAGCAGCCCCAAAATACTGCCTGAACGCGGCACGTGGTACAAAACGGTGTGCTCGGCATCCCTAAAAAACAAGTCTAAAAAAATAGGATTCGGACGAGAAAGCAATTACAGCACCCTCGGATTTAAAGCCACTCGCGCCACTGGTTTTTCTCCCATTAATCCAATATCGCATGTCAAGCCGTTCCCCTGCAGAAATATCATTTAATGGCGCAGATTTCGAACAAACAGATTCTCGTCTCAATATCATTCCTCTTGCCATCATGCTTTTGTGTACCGGTACGCGCGTTCGCGCGAATGCATCCGCACGTTTGCCGGTGCAGGTGCCTTTTCCGCTCTCGTACAGTCGAAGCCGATTCTGCCATAACCCCATCCGCTTCGTCTGTTCTCTCTCTCTCTCTCTCTCTCTCTTTTCATCCTCTCGATTGTATCGATCATCGATGGAGAGGGTGCACACGTCGAAAACGGCTGGTTTACTCGAGCGTATCGTATCGTTACGTCAATGGCGAGTCACGTTCTCGTTGAGATCACACCTGCATCCACGGTCCTCGCGTGCATTTTCCGCACGCGGTTACGAATGTTCGATGTTTGAAACTATTCCTTCCCTTTGGAATTCACGAAACAGTTTGTTGGCATCGAGAGTTGAAGCGTTCGCTTTCGATCTTTCCCAACGTCGACGCGAGCATTAAACGCTAATAAGTAGCGCGTAATAAAATTGCTCGAATAGAATGATAATAGAATATACATCTACGAGGTGCATACGATCGTGTGTTAACTCTTATTCGAACAATCGGGCTTGAAATACTTTTTGAAATATTTCTTTATTCATTCCTCTAATCCTTCTAAAATCTCTTCTTTTTTCCTTGGAAGTGTCTCTCGAGGATAAGAACTGGTGTTCAATGTGTGAAGAGATTAAGGAGAATTATTGACGATTACTTCCTTTTCAATTAAAAAAAATGTAATAATAGATGTTGCGCATATATTCTTTCAATAAACTATCCGAATTATTAAAATGTTTTCTTCTTTCTCTTCCTCTGTCTCGTTTTTCCTTTCTCTCTCTTTTTCTCCCTTTAATATAATATAATATTAATATAAGTAATATTAATATTGGACTCTATTATATGTATATATATATATATATGACTTTTAATTAATTACAGAATATTATATTTACTTCTCGTTGGAGAAGTAAATATAATATTCTGTAATTAATTAAAAGTTTAAACAAACGTTTCATGTTTAAACAATTTTTTTCGTTATACTCTTATGTGGCCTTATACCCTCGATATTGTTTTTTAAATTAAGAGTCCTTCGTTCTTGTAAAAATTTATTAATATTGGAATTAAAAAAGATTATCTTAATCACGTCTGTGCATAAACATTCGAATTTTTAATCATGGAGATCATTTTCTTGTGAGTTTTTAGAACGGAGTTAAATTATTAACGGTATATTAACGGTAGAAATTATGCGGCTCTGATTTATTCGGAGATAAAGGACGTGCTTAAATTTTACGCGCTGCCATGGTAATATTCTTAGTGCCATGAATTACCGACACGGCATGTTAACGATGCGAATTATGTGATGTTGACTTATCTGATATATAATGAGATATATTTTTAAAATCGGTCATTACGACGACGATTTTCTAAAACACACGGAATACACAAATACGACTTTTTACCGGAAAGAAATTTATATAGGTATGATTTATATAGGTATTGCAAATGTGACTATTTTTATGTGTTTCAATTATCTTGTACATTTTTTTTTTAATAAAACAATATTATTCAACAATACAAATAGTTAATGTAAACCTGTTAGGTAATAGGACTGATTCTCTTTTTAATTCCTAACCAAAATGAATAGTAACAGAGTTGACAATTCATTCAAATCACCGACATAACATTGTATATAATACTACTGCATTTTTTAACGTACTTACGAGAAAACTGCGCGAAGCGAAAGGACAAACTGTGTCGTTTCTACTAGAAAAATACGCCGCTCTCCGAGCGTTGCTTTCATTGAAAAGAGTTCAGTGCAGCAGTGCCATTCTTGTGCCAATTCAACCGAATGCATCCGAATAGAACGCGTATTCGTAAAAAGTAATTATGCGCCGCGTGCACGAGTTTCTTAAAATCCAAATCGGATGAATTTTCTGGTGGAATCGAGCGATTTCGAATCGCAATAGAGAAGCGATAATGGATCTCCATGTGTGGAAAAGGATCCTGTATTTACACACTGTGGCACAAAGCGCTTCACTGCAACGTGAAACACTCGCACGACACAGGCGTGCAATATCGCGTAATTAAAGGAGCGACCGTCGCAAAAATTTTTCAAGCAGATTTCGCTGTGAAAACTTTCTGTTCCAATTCTAGTTTCCCGTTTATATCGCAAGTGCTCGCGCCCACACGTTTCACAGTCGCGCCTTGTAAAAACTGTCGATTCGTGTTGTCTATGTGAACGTACGTGTACGTTTCTCTGGTCGAAATTCCCTATTGACCCCTCGCATATAGAGAGGAGAACCTATTATTCCAGTATACCGTCCGTTGGACCGACCGAGCGGAGCCCTTCAAACATCATTTTCTAGCGCGCCAGCACGACGACGAGGGTGAGCACGATGAAACCGCGAAATATTTATAAACTTCGTCTTTCTTCGGTTGAGAGGTCAATGTACACGACTGAGGGCGTCTGTGGGTGAAAGTGTAGACGGAAATGTACGCGACGATGGGGATGAGATCGTCGTCGGGAATCTTCTTCGCGTTCACGTTAATCTTTTTCTACTTAATGTAACCTCGTGTAGCGCTCGATTTTCGAAAAAAAGGGATTCTGTCGTGGACGTTTTCACGAGAAACATTTTTTTTGGGATCTGGGTAATGAAGTGAGGCAAATTCGACAAGACATACACTCAAATCATTCTAAATATTTAAAATTTCTCAATTTCTTTGGAATATTTGACATCGGTATATTTTAGAAGTATTTCAAAAATATTATCAGTACATTTTAATTTAAATGTATTCCTTCAAAGTGCTTTTTGGTATAAAATATTCAGATATCTCAGGAGATATGCAGAATTATAAAGAAAATCTCTCGCGTGCGATATCCTTAGAATATCTTGGCCGCTGTAGTAAAAATATATACATATGTACTAGTAGAGACACATATAGAGGTGAGTAATTACATTATATATAAATATTCTAAAAATATATGCTCCGTACTCTCTTATAATATGTGGGACATAAGATATTGTGATTTTTTTCAGCAAGATATTTTGATACAATCTTGTATATTTTCTTTGATAGAAGTTAATAATGTAAACATTTTATCTCTTTGTCATAGGTGTCTCGATTAACAAATTTTATGATAATTGCAATAATCCATAATATACAAGATTATTTATCGCGATACGCTTCTTGTAAAGAAATGTTACAATAAAATTATAATGCTGTTTTAAAAACAAACTTTGACGAATGATAAAAAAAGAAATTAATCAACATATCTATTTTAAAAGCATCGGTATAACATGTCGCAAAGAACGAAGGACACTACATTTGCACCCAGTGGCACATCAATTCGCGGTCTAACTTTATTGCGCGCACATATTCTCCGTGTCGTTACGCTCAGATTTATATGGCCGCGACGTATCCCTGGGGCGAAGTAAATATTCGCTCTAGGAAGGAAATATTGTTCGCAGATTCGATAGATTTAAATCGGCGAAGGGTTTAAAGGTACTTCGCATATATGATCTAAAAGTTAAGGATCTCGACCTGGGTAAGATGTCGGTAATTTCCCAACGTAACGAACATATCCTCTCAGCATAACGTTTTATATCATCTTGCTCATATGGTGCCAACGTTTCCCCGAGGTAAAGTAAATTTTAGGTGAATTCAAGAGGCAAGGAACATCTCACGTTCGTTCTTTTCGAGAGAGGAAAAACGTACGAAAAAATGGCAAAAAACAAATATATTTTCATCGAATCGTCGAGGCTTGCCGTGGATCTTGAATTAGTGTTTGCATGAAAAAGTCGATTAGCTTATGTATGTGTGCAACTGTTGGCCATTCACGAGAAATTGCATGGAAAATTGAGTCGTGTGAAGAAGGTCGATATACGCGCAGGCGGTGAGAGCCGCCGCCGTGAAAGTCATATAAATAATTTTTATGCGACTTCGACTTTTCGAACAGTTCCACTTCCATCGGTGTACCGTTTTATCTTGCCGTGTTCCTTCGACATTTCCCCGAGGACATGTAAATTTGTACGAGAAAGAGAGAACGCGTCGTGCCAATAACGCCGAACTGGCGAATAATTGGCTCGTACTTATATAGGATGAAATCGGAAACTTTGACGATGGAAAAGATAGAGAAGAAAAGGAAGTTCCACGGTCGGTCTGAGAGTTGCAAGCAAGAACAATTGCTAAAGCCGTTTCGTCATAATTTCGTTGCATATTCTTTCTGTAGATACATCATGTTATTTCGCTCTAGTTATGTTTCTGCAACATTTCCCCGGGGTGAAGTAAATTTGAGAAGAAGAGAAAGAAAATATTGTCCGCTTCGTCGACGAGGCGGCAAAGAAACAGTTTCGGGCGCACAAAGGGCCCGCAAAATAGATCACCCAGTCGTATCTCCAGCAGGATATTGCAAACGTTCCACTTTAAAATCTATGCTACGTGTAATCTCGTGCCAATTTTGATCAAAATGCACGAATTATTGTTATTGATCTACTATTATCTGCCTGACTTTACCCCTCCTCGCTGAACGCGGTGACAAATGATTAATTTCACACGTGTGGCCCATGAATTCAACGAAGTCCGAAATGGGACTAACAAATATTTGCGGATAAGTATATTCCATGAACGAGGTGTTAATTATGCATGCCGACAAATACCGCTAACGTGTTTAATGGATTTCATTAGTACATCGAAAAATATATGTGTAAACTATATTTACATACATATGTAAATGTGTGTGTATATTCAACCCAAAATTCAAAACACAAGTCATTGAACTGTATATAAAAGAATATATAAATGAAACAAATAACTTCGATCATTGAAAAGCTTGGAACATTTAATACCGTAACATTTAATCGATTTGTGCGTATAGCATCACGTAATAACAAATGTAAATTTCTAATCGTTTTGATGTCCGCAGGTCACTGCGAACTGGAGCAGATAAACTTCCTTCACGTGCGCAGGCTAATATGCTCGTTTCGTTTGCGGAAGCTTCGCTACAAACAATTTGCCTGAAATTGCCGTACGTGCACGATAACCGCTCGGGAAAACGGAAATGGCCCCCTCGAGAATGCGGGTAAGCGTCATCTTCCTCGCGGCTCACGTCTTACAAAAATCCGCCACTTGTGCCGCTTGGTGCACTCCGGGAAACTATGCAGGCGGTCGGTGGTAAACCGTGCCCACCGACTCACTCTCGAGATGCTTAAATTGCCATTACGTTAGCAAAACGCTCGGGGGACTGCACCGCTTGACTTCGGCAAATTTCGCTGTTAAACTTTATTGAAGATAAAAACGTGAAGCGCAAAAAACCTTGCACCTGTTAAACTGCAAATGTATCCAACTTCATTAAACTTATCGCGATTATAATTGAAGATTACAATTGAAATACTGCAACGTTGCTGAACATTAATAACAGTTGAAAATACAAATGCTGTATTTAACTAACAATTTGTAAAATTGCTTTTATTAAACATGCTCGATGTTTGAAGAGAAGTTTCATACGCAATATACGATATACGTTTAAGCTTATAGAGTAGGGAATACACACGATTTCAACACATTTTAGCTACTCCCTTCACAATTCTATATTCTCAACGGGCATAGAAAGTTGTATACATGAACTATTATATCCTTAAATCGCTGTTAAATCAAGTCTTAAATGCTGGCATTCCGTACTAATCTCTTATTCTTGACGAATCGAATGGAAGAAGAACGCCAAGCAACTTTTAACAAGAAAGTCTTACTTTTTTTTATTCTTCAGTGACTTGCAAATTCACGTCTAGCAACGCTGCTTGAATGCGATCGTCCTTAGAAATTTATGCAAGTAAGAAAAACTATATTTTTCTTAAATGACAAAACCAAAAACAATATCCGAGCAAACTATTAAACAGTAAGTAATGAAATTAGCGTTAGAATCTATCAGATTAAATGGGAATCTATCAAATGATTACATTAACCATTCTCTAATTATTCAGAGCAGCTTTTTGTAAATTCTTTTTCTATTCATGTATGCAATTACTTGATAGCAAAAGAACTTACATTATTTAACGATTTATTATCTTTCAGCAGGTACATCTATAATTATAAGTCGAAAGGTAACAGTATCTATATATATCACAGGCTTGGTGAGCAGTTATTATTATTCCTGAAACAAACAAGCTGCTTGCCTATGCTAAATGCAGAAGAGCTAATTATATCCAGGGTAATGTTACAGCTCTACAATTTATACCTAATAACATTTATGTCGTTGCTGAGCATCGGTAAAATTTGAATATTAATAATAATACAATGTTAGTTTGTTAAATATTATATTCGTTTATGTCCACGTAATCAAAATAAAATATCTATTTAAACATTCTCTAATGTATGCCCCTCGACGGTTATGTCACTTATTTATAGGACATAGTTACATACGTTGTATACTAAAGTTCATTGAATGCTTTAGCACTTCCGAAATAAAGGATTGGATATTTTTGGTCGAGTGCATCGCGCCCAGACATTTGTATATTGTTATAATTCAGATTTTAATCTGACAGTTTGACATTTACTAAAGATTATAAATGCATATATTGAATATAAATAATAACTTATATGACATATTAAATCAATAAATAAAAATCTTTTCATAATTTTAATTAAAATTATTATGTATATGAATATTTAGACAAAGCGTGCCTGATAAAAAAAAATGCCTTGTAATCTTAAATTCCGGAAATGTTTGAATAAATTTCAGTGGAAAGAGAGATTCGAAAATTAACGATGTTTTAATGCAATGTGTTAATACAACTTTCATTCTACGATAATACTACCTGTCAAACATATATTAATTGTTTGTGTGTATAAAACGGCATGCTAATTATTTATTTACGATAAATATTTTTCCAAAGTATTTTACGATTATTATCAAACATCTTTTTCTTAATTTCCTTTTTATCATTTTCTTCTAGAGATATAACTTTTTACATACTTTTATTTTAGAATTTATATACACAATTCAATATTATAATAATTGTAAATGATATTCTAATCTGTTACTTAAATAAAAAATAATTAATATAACAGAACATATAAATGCATTTTAGCAACTTCCTTCTATTTCAATTTCCTATTATAATCCTTCAATTTGCTTGGAAGGTAAAACTCAACATGTTCGTTGTGATCAAAGAGAACTAACAGTCAATAAAAGTTCCACCCGGTTTTCATTTCGCACTGGTGCAATTTTTGTTTGACGAACAAATACATGGAGATCAGCGTGTTTCAATAAAAAAAGATTCAAATCAAAGTTTCCGTTTTCTAAATGCTAGTCTTCCGATTGTTGCTTAAACATATCATGTTTATCTTCTATCGATACGTACAATACAACATGAATAATTATCCAGATTAAAGGCTGGGATTAATTATTCCACTGAGTTCAAATTAACTTGTTAGTAGAGGAAACAATGGAGGAATGTAACCTTGATCATCGTTTGATAATCAAGACGATTAATTGTTCGCGACAAAATGCTTAATTAATCGCGATGGAGTAAAAGAGAATAAACGGGACGTGGTGATGCTCCCGCGTTTAAACATCCCATATCCTGCACCATTAATATTAATAACGGCGTTATCATCAAACTTGATCATCTTTGTCCATCGAGGGTCTAAATGCGTGACCGTCGCAAAGAGAAATCCTAAAACAACGTCCACCCCGTAGTTCGCGTCGCCGCCACCACTGGCCGGCAAGCAAGCACAGGCAGGCAGACAGGCCAGGGGTGCAGGAACGAGCGGGGTCGACCCTGCGCGCAGCCTCCCCAGTCCACCCCGAAGATTCAGTCGTCGTGCGGCAGAGGAGGGCCGAGGAGCGCCCGGTCGAAGCGCCGAGGTCCTCTCTCCACTCTCTTCGTCTCCTATCTCCAACACGCATATCTCTTTTTATCCGCCTCGTATTCTCTCTCTTTCGCTCTCTCTCTCTCTCTTTCTCTCTGTCTGGACCAGACTGAAAACGACCGGCTCCCTCTATCATACGCACATACACTCACATACACATACACCCACACATTCTCACACACACACCCACACACACACATACCTACACACACACACACACACACACACACACATACTCTCTCAGTCCCCCCCCTTATCTCTCTTTTATCTCCTTCCGCGAGTCGCGAGTGAAAACGAGCCGGGCAGCGCCGCACCGACCTTCACCATTTTGGTACACGCAGCACGCTACGTACGGCTGTAAAGCTGTATGTCCTCGCCGATCCTCGTCTGACGAAGAGAATCCGCGAGAGGAACTCGCCGAATTTGATCGGAATGCGCGTGGGGCGACCGGTCCGCTGCGTGGATTCCGTGACAAAACGACGACGACGACGCCGGTTTGGGGGTTGCTAGCCTCCCTCAACTCCGCCTCTCATTCCTGTCACTCTATTCGTTTCTCGCTCGCTCTCTCCCTCTTTCTACTACGAAGGGTGGGTGGTGATACGCCGGTGGCAGTGGCAGCAGTAGTGTGTGGATGCTTGTACCGGTGGGTGCTCTCTCTAGTGTGAGAGTAGTGGTTCCTAGTGTTGGTGATGGTGCTAGTGGTGGTGGTTTAAATTTCAGCCGCGTGCACGGGTTCACCTACGTGAGCCATTACACGGGTCCTCGGCTTTCTCACCGACTGGGAGGCTATATGAGCGGTCACGGTCCACGGACGCAAATTCTGGCCACCTTCGTCCACCTCCTTTTCTCCCATCATCCTTATCTCCTCCATGTACCTCCGGTGTGCTGACGCTCGATGTGCTTACTCGAGGCTACGTTCTTCGCCCGCTTATCTTGACCGAAATTCGCGGTGTGTTCGATCCCTATCCGTGTCGGTACGGCCGATCGTAGTATGCAGTGTATGCGCGTGCTTTGTTGAAAGGATGCAACGTATCGCTGCTGCGCTGCCCTTGTCTCATACTGATTGCTGAGGTAACGTAGCAGTCAGAGGAGGAGAGACGCGATAAAAATATTATCCGCAAAATATATTATCTTCGCAAATACAACAGGCGAAAAGACGTATCAGGATGTATCGTGATAAAAATATTATTCGTCTCGCAAATACGATGAAAATCCTCCCCGTTCACGAGATCGGAGCGAAATAACGGGATGGAAAATGTGCTAGTCGAGATAAAACGCTATTTTTCAGGATTATTCAACCATTTAAAAAATATGACGGATATCGATAACAAATATATAATGCGTACTCCTATTTCAAAGGAGAACGTATCATTTTTTCAAAAATTTTTTAAAAATCATTTTCTTTAATTCAAATTTCAATTAATCGATATTGATTGTAATTAGTAATTAAAATATTATATTAATAATGAAAATATATGCTTCGAAGTTACGACAGTGAAAATGATCAACTGCAAGAAAATCTAGCTTATAGCATATTCACATATCAAATTGCAGACTATAATTAGTTTCTTACACCTTTTAGGAAAAGCACCTTTTTCGTTTCTATTTTATTCTCCTTTCCGTCTACATGCGAATGAAATCCCGCGTGTGCAAACGCGACTATATATGCGCGGAATGGTCACATATATGCTCCAAAAACGCGTTAAATACGCACGTGTATGTGTGTTTCTATCGAACGAGAGTATCGTATCATTGCGACAGGTCTCTCGACCAGTCGTCGTGACCCTCTTCAACACCGGGTAAAAACAGGAAGTATGGTAAAAACATCATCCGTTCTACCGTGATAGCCTGAAGCCCGTTTAATCGGACTCCAAAGCAGGGTGGGAGTACTGGAAATTACCGAGATGTATCTCTCTCCCGATTATTTCATGTGAATCCGCCGCGAGATTAAGCGGCTTTCTACAAGCCCGATATATGTTCCTGTGTGCGTATATATTCTGTGTACGGGTATATATACGTATATGTACGTCTCCACATTGTGCGAGCAGTGGCATCGTTTCCGTAAATTTCGCCCGACGCCTCTTCTTCACAGCGACAATTAGACGCGGCAAAACCATTACCGATTCCACGCGCGGCCAACCGTGGGAACAAACGGTGAGAAAAAGAGAAGTGATATCACATAGATACTTAGGAAGCCAGATTCGACAAAACGACGGATCATCCAGAGCGTGTAGCTTTCGAAACAAAAGCGTGCAGTTTGCTACTTCGATGCGTTTCGCAAGAACGAGTTACACGGGTTGTGTTATGGATGAGCGTTCGAAGTCTCGTTCATCGTGACGGCTGGAAATAGGGGTTGCAGTTGGGGGTGGTTTGTTTTGCCCTCGTCCCGTTGAATAGGAACAATCGGCTCGCACCGGTGTGCGCTTTTTCCCCGCGATGTAAAGTGTTGCGTCGAGACGATCGACGATGTAGAGGGTAGAGAACGAGTTGTACGGAGAAGAAGAGGAGGAGAAGGAGGAGGAGGAGGAGGAGGAAAAGGAGACAGCGAGAGGACGAAAAATATGGCCCGTGTGCATGTCGAGCGTGTCGACTGCTTTTTTGCTCGTCTTGTGCTTTTGCCTCTTTTTCTTTTTTTTTTGTCTCTCTATTTCGTCGTCGTCTGCTACTCGAGGATCGTTGACCGTGTCGAATGTCGGTCACTGTAAATGAGATTCGCAGAGACCGAGATGTTAGAGAAGTCCTCTCTCGAAGCTGTCTTTCTTCTCCTTCGTATCGCTCTCATTTTTTATCTCTTTCTCTTCTCCCTCTCTCTCTCTCTCTCTCTCTCTCTCTCTCTCTATTTCTATCTCTTTTTCTTCTCTCATGAGAAACTCCCGAAGTAAACTAATGGCAGAGCGAGAGGAAGGAGAGTGCCAAGTTGCGGGTTGGCACAGGTCGTTTAAATGTTTAGATTCGCGGTGTGAAAATCCCTCTTTTACCCCCTTACGCGGAAAACTTCTTATCGTAAGAAAGCCAGCGCTCGCACATTTGGAATGCAAGGGCTTTCGCATCGCGGAAAAATACCGCCTTCCTCCGGACCGTACCGCTCACAAACGCCCACGAGCGCGGGGTTTCAAGTAGTTTTAATTTCAACCACGGTAATTTTCGTGGTTGCGAGTAGTGGCGACGCGACGCCTCTCTCACCTCCAACGGGGAATAATTATTTTAGATGACAGCCGACGCGACGTACATGAAATTCGTTCTCGCATGTGAATTCGCGCACCTGCGTGATTGGCTGAAATGGAGCTTCTCTCTTCCTATGATTATATCGACTGGATTATCAAGAATATATATTGCTCTGAATTTCGGCCTGCTTGCTGCAATCTCGAAACAGCTGCGGTATTCCAATGTAGCCGACAGTGAGATTTATTCATCGCGTATCGCCAAGAATATTTTTTATTTATTATTTGAGACATGTTGTATGTTTTCAAACAGTTATTTATCGATATTTCCAGATATTTTAAAAATTGTCTATGAGTATATTAATTCCGGCGTTGTAACAGGCTCGCAAATATCTTGGTCGAAAAATATTAGCTTTACGTTTATTGCTTTTTACACCAGGCTCCCTGAGATTATGATGCTTTCGAACAATAGCGTCACGCGGCACGTTGCTGCTTTTTCATCCTGAAAATAATTCTTGGGAAAAACTTCGGCAAGAACTCTCATAACCGTCTACAATAGTCTACATATTTACATCGCCGAAACATATATACAACGATAAAATAATTGCTCACTATCAAGAGAATATTTTTAAAGAAGTTTTGCTTTCTTATCTCATTGATTATGAGAAATTTCACCCAGTAGAGAAAATTTTAGAATAAAATTATGTACATAATGAATTTTCCTAATTTTTTAAAACTGTTTTATGTGATGTCGATAGATAGTTGTCATCAAATTTCAATAGCAATCTATTTTTTCTAAAATTTTACTTTCTTACAGCAAGGAGAGTCGGATCGAATTCTATTTTTTGGATATTTTAAAAACGCACTTTATTACAAAAGAGTTAATAAAATTCAGCTATTAAGAGATTATATCGTTTACTTTATATTTAAAGAAAACAACTAACAATTATATTAGTTCAAAATAGTGCTTTATGTGAGTTACGTATTAATAGAATTAAAAAAAAATCTTACCAATAAATTATCCTCTACCACGCATTTTTGTTATAATAGGTAATATTTTAAAATAAAAATATAATATTTTTCTTTCTTTACTTGAAAACTCTCGGAAATCCCGGAAGTGCAACGCACCTGCTTCAATGCTTTGACTCGAGTTTTCGAGAGCGCGAGTTTTCTGCAACGCGAGCATGTACGTGCCCGTAAGCTCAAAGCCTGGTGTTAGCGGTACAGAACATCGTATCGCGAGAAATCTGTACGTAGCGCGTCGTTCTGCAGCTGTGCGTCGCTCTTCTTTCAGGTTCGAGCGAATCGGCATCGGCACGAGAGACCGAAGGGAATACGTGCAACGAGATGCCAGCCTTCGCACCGTTCGCATCGCATTCTGGGAGATACGTTATCCCGCGAGAACGACGACTACGTTCGTGGGAGCACTCGGCGGTTTTACACTTTTCCACTAAATCAGCCGTTAACGTCCCTGCGGATGCACCGCGCACTCCGATCTACGATCGATAAGCGAGCGCTTCACGTGAAGCGTCTCAGAACCCCTCACGGGAGCGCGAGAGAGGAAGATTCTACGATGCGCGTGCCGGGGAAGACGTACGAGCAAGAAATGGATGGGAAAAGTACGTTCGAATCTTAGCCCGCTCTGCCCCGTAAATAGCGTTTTGTAACCCCCGTCACGTGAAATCGATATCCCTTAAGAGCCGGTCCGTGAGGTCATTCGTCAGACCGGTGTTGCCTGTTTCACCCCCCGTGGAAGTGGAACTTGTAAGAGAGAGTGCGCGCTAGTCTGCGGGGAGTCTGCGGAGAGGAGGTGGACAGAAACGGGGTTGGCTGAATAAAAGAAGATGCACCGGAAAAGGCCAACGTTCCTCACCGACATGGGACTGCTAATGTTCTTAGCGGTAACAGCCTCGCTGTTGGGTTACTGCCAAACGGACGAAAAAGGTAAGACACAGAGTCACGACTCGCGACCTCCCTTTGCTTACCGTATCCCTTTCTTTTCTTCCTTATCTCTCTCCCACGCGCCCGCGTTTTATACTATCTATCCTCGGCTGCGGGGGTAACGTCGAAAGAAATACGGATTTCGCTTTCCGCATCGTCCAACTCTCGGACGAGGATGAAGGGACGCGAGAATAGCGCCCGTGCGCGAGAAAGAGCGGCGAAGATTAACTTTTATGGCCGCCGGCATGAGTACTTCCCGCGAATTTACTTATAGCGGGAGCGGTTTAATGGTCGCCACGCACGTACGCCAGGCGCTTTTAATAGTGCGCGAGACTATGGCTGCATCGCATTCGGCGCGACGTCCCTTCGTAAACATCCCCGCATGCAAACGATTATATCGACCGTAAGTCTCTTAATCCTTAATCCGCGAATAGCCAGAGGATAGTCGAAATTACCACTTTTCGATACTTGCGATGGTAGAAATTTATAAAATAAATGAAAAATATCCCCAATATAAAATTACAGTAGTGAGGACAGGAAAGCGAGAATCGAAATGATAAATGTACAATTATTTGTAATAATTGCGAATATAAAATCGGAAGATATAAAAAAAATCCAATTCACTTTGAATCGATATTCGGAATGGCTTAAAATAATTCGATTCATTTTTTTTTTATTAAAGTTTAAAACTTTTCTATCAAAGTTTAAAATTTTCGTTTGCCAGAGTTATCAAGAGGGACCTTTGAATCACGGAAAAAAATGCGGTTTTGCTAAAGTATTTAAAAACTATTAAAAGATATATTGTTGAATGTATAATATCGAATTATATTCAGTTTGAGTTATTTTTAATCATTTGTATAGGTCGCTACTGTTCCTACTTAAAAAAAATGGAATTAAATGATTTAACTCAAGAAAATGTATTAAATGTATTTATTTTTTATTTATTATTTACTAAGTCTATACGTTAATATGGATGTTATTTATTTTAAAGCTAATCACAAAAATAGATTGGTTTACATTTTGATACACCCGGAAGTTAAAATGTTATTTAACTGAAAAGAAATTGGGTTCTGACTGTTTTTTTGATATCTGAGAGTGATAGGGATTTGAAATAATTTTGTTACGTTTAAATACATTAAAAATATTATGTAGGATCAAAGCTGGCTGTTGGAATGTCAAAACATTTTGCAGTGTTGCTCATTAAGCTTGAGTATCCTATACGAAATTATTTTGATGGACCAACAAAATTATTTTTAGATCTCTATCTAGCTAAATTTTTTAATATTGTAGAAAAAATTGTTCTTTCTGTATAGTTTTGCATTTCTTATAATTCTGACGTTACTATAAATAATTACACTGACAATTGACTTTGGATCTTCTTTAATTAAGAAGAAATTTAAGCTAATATTGAATTTCTTTTGTAGATACTAGGATATTACAGTATACTATTAAATTCAATTTTTTTACATTTTATAGTCACTTTATGATTAACTCGAATATGCTGTTTCTATGCTCTTCCTGTCGTTATTATCCCAAAGTTTCGCGCATACTATTAAATATTTGCATTATGTCCTTCGTTATACCGGAGCGCGAGATATTTTGTACGAGGAATAGTCAGTTATATGCAACTACATATATGCTGAAGACTGGGAAATATTATTTTGTAATTTTGCGAAGTAAATCATTAAAATTTTTTCGACATTATTTACATGTACTGCATAAGACTTATTACAAATAGACTGTATTCTTGAAAAAAAGATAATAAAAGTTAATGAGCATAAAGTAGCATAATACGTTACAATATAAGTTTTATTAATTAAAAAGCACAATCAGTTAAAAATATAATTATATAAATAATAAAAATAGAAAATAAATTTTTTAACATTTTACAATATAGAAAACTCCATGGAAAAATCGGGCAAGCGGAAAGAATGGAAGTGAACGTTTTCAGACTCGCTAATTAAATTTACCCAATTTGCAATAATCGAACGCGGAAATCACGTTGAAGTAATAACTTGCTACTAAATCATACGCCGTTGCAATACATATCGAAGTACACTTGTGTACGCATTACCGGCGTGTCCGTTATCGTTGTGCTCGATGGTTTAACATTTCGTTCGAATAAACCGGATAATCGAAACATGTAATCCATGCGTCATTAGTTTTTACAAAACCGATCTTTCCAGCACTATACCTTAGTAAATTGATCTAAATTTAACAAGAGGTCTGATCGCGATCTGATCGATGCACCCGTGTACATGGTGCAAGTACAAATAGAAAATTGTTAACGCGTTCCCATCGAACTCTAAAAAAAATTTTCCTACCATACTGGTAACAATCAATACGTCGTGTCGCGTATTTCCGTACCAATAAAATCTGTATACTCGACATACATCCATGCATTCGCCACTCGTGTGTTAATGCATATTGCAAACTTTTCAAAACTTTTGTCAGCTCCTATTACTTATATATGTTCATAATTTCGAAATGATTAAACGAATGGTTTATGGTTTATTTGTATACGGAATTACACACTAAATTCCGATTAAAGAATTTATGCGCGAAATGTAATAGTAAATAACATGTGCCATAATACTTAAGAGACATGATCGGCGACATAACATACATTGTACATTATTCACGGCTGATTCAACGTGAAATTATATTTTTCACCGTATCCCGAAATAAAATGAGTTTGCGATACCTGCTGCTCGCTAATCAGTTTCCCGTTTGTCGGATTAATCTGCGTGGCGCGTGCGAGACGTCGCATCGCACAGCGTTGCGCGTGGCATATCGCGCATTTGTTTTTACACATTCCGGTGGTTCCGACTGGATACAATACATATTCTCGTGAAAGGGGGGGGGGGGGGGGGGGGGGGGAGAGAGATTCAGGTTGCGTGACCACGTCGTATCGACCATGTATTTTTTGCGTGCCGGTCATATCCGCGATTTATATCCGCGAAGATACGCTAAAATAGTGTATATTATAATGCAATTAACTATTTTTGCAATAATAAGATAAAGACTAATAAGAGTCTAAGCATTATTGTAAGTACACAATTATAGTGATTACATAGTATCGTCAAAATATAAAGTAAAACATACAGTTTTACCTATTTCAAACTTTTTTCAGACTTTTTTAGGACTTCATGATAAATAATTCCGGACTGCGATTAATTTTCAAGCGCTTAGAGAGACAAAAATATACGTCTCGTCTACTGTTCAGTTTTTACTCACAATCATTTTCACCGTATACGCGGATGCAATTAGGTATCGATGGATAATTGAGATTGATTAAAATGATCGCTTCGTAAATTGCTAATTTTTATTTTTGCGCGCATGCAGCTCTCAATATCCATTGAAAGAATCATCAGGGAGTAGAATACGGCAATTTCCATGAAACCTTACGAGGTCGTTTCCATTTGCCAGTCACATTGAGAATACCGTGGCCACCATCCCGCGTTAATGTACTGTATACTTTTTCTCGAAAACCGTCGGTCAATTACGCTTGGGTATGGATATAACGCGAACAATCTGTACGGCTCGTAAAGAAAAATACAATTACGAAAGCCGCAAAACGTTCGCTTAAAAAATGCTACTTTATGACATGAACTGAGAGAGATTCTATTCTACATATACAATTATTTTGGTTTATATTGAATGCAGGTCAGTTGATATATTCAGTGAAATTCGATGCAATATAATCAATGGGAAAACATGGAAAATTCAATCTGAAATATATCGTGAAATTATGGAAGATCGATGCATTCACTTAGCCTAATAATTAATGGTACAGTCGCGAATGCATTAGCTTACAGCGAATTAGCTATTCGTTACGTCGTTTATATTAGGATCTCAAAAAATATCCTCTCCAACGATAACAAGATCTACTTGTTAAAAAATGCGACACGATTTTTCATTTCGACTAATCCGTCATCTACGCAAATGTGCAAAATGATATTTCGATGTTACGCCAGAGATAAACTTTTTGTAAAATAACTACGTAATACACTCTACGTACGAGTCAGCAAGTTTCAATTTATTATTTAATTTTCTAGTATAAAATAAATTCCTCTTTGTGACCGAAATTCATGGAACACCGCTAGCGGATGTATTCGCATGATTAACTCGATCTCTTTTACGTAACAATCCTGCTATTTTGTACTGCAAAAGCGGATCTCGATTTTTAGTAATTCTATAAAACAAATAACCCATCGAATAACAATCGAATCCGTATTTTCGATTCATATATATAGCCGCCGAGAATCGTAATTACCGTAGCTTATGGAATCGTATAGATTGATACATATCGGGTGTACGATTTAAATAACAATCTACATATGGACAGTTGTCAAACGTATATCTCAAATATATTCCAAATATATTTGAGATTAGATATATATATAAAATATGTGTAGTGATCTTAAAACATGAAATTTTTACACATATAAGCAGATATTTATCATTTATTATAAGCACTAGAATACCTTCCGATTTATTTGTATTTTGTAAGTTTTTTTCTTTATCTGGATTTATCTTATAATTCTCTCTTTATCTGAATTAAAATTATAATAA